AGAAGTTCGCAATTTAATTGGTTAATAATGTACAAGTAAAACCTAAGACAACTTTGATTAAATTACGTATACGTAGCAATAGTTTAAGATCTATAAAAAATGTCTAACATATCAGCCCAGAAAGACCAAAGTTGATGGCGGGTTTGAAAGAGATTCTGGAGAAGATATTCTAAAAAAATGAATAAAGTTTTTCTATTCATGACTGAATTACCAGAAGAAGAAAATGATGCACTTGTGGCTTTACAATCTTTAATTTACAAGGGCCACCCGAAGGTATTTTAGTCTAAAATTTGGACAATTTTTATCTTAGAAACTAACTAAAAATCTTTTATAAATTCTATAGAAGTTGCAGAGAATTTTAAAAATTAGGAGAATAAATGTTTTAAAGCAGGAAAATTACAATATTAAGGTGTGATAAATTTTTACACAAAAGCATTAGAAACAAATTGTCAAGACAATAAAATCATTGAAGCATGTTTAACGAATCGTGCAGCTGTTAATTTAAAATTACATAAGTAAATTATAAAATTAATTTTTTCACAAGAATAATAACATCTATTAATTTTATTATTATGTTTACTATTCAAGAATATTTTTCTTTATAGAAAATTATCGTAAAGTTCTTACAGATTGTGCAAAAGCTATTAAATTAAAACCTCAAAATATCAAGGCATTTTATCATTCTGCAAAAGCTTTATATGTACTTGATAAAATTGATCAAGCTTTAGATTGTTGTGAACATGGAATTGAAGTATATATTAATATTTTTCTATACTGTATATAATGTGCAAGATAATCTTTTCATAATTAATTATGTTTGTATAATATTATTAGATAGAGCCAAATAACTTAGCATTACAACAATTAAAAGAGACTTGTATTAAATGAAAGGAGATATTGAATCAAAAGGCTAAAATTGAAGAAGAGCATGAACGAAAGGAACGAGAAAAAAAAGAGGCATTAGAGAAAGTTATAAAGGTTTAAAAAGATTTATATGTTTAACCAACGTTATTTAATTAAAAAATAAAACTAAATTATTTTTATTAATATATGCGTAATATTAAAATAGAAACACCCAATACACCGATATCACCTCATTCAATACATCTAGATACAGAAACTCGGCAATAAATTTGGCTCATTTTTTCCTATACCCAGAATATAAGGAATCAGATTTTATTGAAGCATTTAATGAAGGAAATACATTTTTAGAACATCTTGAAGTGATTTTTGAACAACCAGCACCTTGGAACATTGAACGTAAATATACACCAAATGATATACAAATTTACTATGAATATACGATATCAAAAGTTAATCAGAATTGGCAAGAATTGCACCTTAAAAAAAGGATTGTCATATCCAAAATATGTTGTAAAAAATGATATTCCTAGTTTTATCATTTTACAACAAGAAAAATTTCAAGAGGAATTTTTAGCAAAATATAAGAAAGTTAATGAATAAATATATTTTATTATTCTCAAATTTGGTTTATATATGACTATCTCAAATGTTGTCTGAAATTCAGTTATCAATTCTCGGGATCAATCAATTTAAATTCTCTTAATTTTCTTTTAAAACTTTCAGCACCGGATGATTTAAAAACCAAGCAGTCATTTGAAATTATTAAATTCCAATTAGGACACCTGTACGATCTAAAAGGTTTTTGGTTCAAATATATAGATCCATCACCAGTAATGGACCACTTTAAAAAAATAATATTTCAAAATACGAGTCATTAATAAATATTGAAAAATATATTATTATATAACACAAACCGAAAAAGACGGATTAAAAGGTTCATGACGATGAATGTAGGTACCGTCCTGATAGAATTCTACTAACGTGTCCCTGGGATTATCAATAGGCTGTAAAGTGATTCTAAATTAGAGATATATATTTAATCGTAATTCGTAACATACCAATATTAAAATAGACTTATGTGACTTACTTACCGCACAATGCCAAGTATTTTCAACCAAGTCATTCGCGTCCAATGAAGTTCGCATTGCTTCTTTCTCAACTAAGCCATAAACACGTTTCCAGACACCATGACTTTTAAACCAAAATCTGCGATTCTTCTCGCATACTTCTCTCATTCCCTCTTTATTTTCCCAATGGTTTAAAGCCATTTGACTCCAAACTCCATTGTCAGCAGATAAGATTTTATAATAACGTGAAACTCTTGCGAAACTAAGTAAATCTGGTACATCAAGTTCATGAAAAATTGAATAAAGTAGTTCGAAAGGGAGTCGTGTAAATTCCAACATTAATGAATATGGAAGAAAAGTGAACGAAATTAAGGTCTAATTATAACCGACGCGAGTAACGACGCGCATTTCTTCATTTATAATTAACTACATATGATTTCATGTGAAACTTAAGTTATGAAAACAAAGAACCTCTAAAAACATATAAGACTTAAGGTTGTAACAATACGTGTAACTAAGACACTTACCTGGTGACTAACCGAGGATTTTTTTTTATATGAAACAAAATAATCACAATAGTTATTACAATGTTAAACCCAAATATATTCATCGTAATAAGACATTCAAACCAAAAAGAGATCCAAAAAAAACAAATGCAATTTATAAAAAATTGAATCAAAAGAATCTTAAAATTTTGTAATAAATATATATTATATATTATCGTTAAAAAGGATTGTACGAATACGTATATATATTGTCGTTCTGTAGTTTAGAATGTTTGGAATCTTTAGAATAGAGAGATGGGTTGAGAATTTTGGCGCGAACGAACACTAATTTTTATAAATATAGTATGAGGTATGGTTAATAAATATGTACGTAACAGTTTACTGAATCTGCAAAGCTCAGATGATGTTTGACGATCTTTTCCCCACACTTTCTATTGGTTGAGATTATGTTTATCTCGGTTAGATGAGTTTGTGGCAAATGTCCCTAGATGCATAATTTGATTGGATGATTAAACAATGGATTAGGTTATTTGTTTAACGTTTAATCATAATTGACTATAATATTTTTATTTATACGTATCGATATCAGTTACTTTACAGCTTTATAAGCGATTGAATTGTTAATCATACGGGCAAAATAAAATATGCACATAGATGGCATACAATGATTACGATCTCTATGATAAGATTTCATATGGGTCAGTTCGTACCGTTATTAGTTAAGAGTATTCGGGCATTTTTGATCAAACTTTGATAATTTATTGGACCATATTCTTGAGTAGATGCTCTACTTTTAGTGCGAGTCTTTTCACATAATATCATATAACAATTTATTCCAATTCTTGTTCAAAGCTACAAAATTCTATTGTTAACCTTAATTATTAAATTGATCGAACTTCGATATTTCAATTTAAGGAATTTTGCCCGAATACTCATAACGGTACGGATTCATAGGCAGACATTCGTATGATTGGCAGTTTAAATCAAATTAATTTTACAGTTTAAAGTGCTTTTCAAAACGAATAAACAAAAAAGGAGGACATAGAAAGGTTTATTATGGTTGTAGGACTCCACTATTAAAAATAATCAAAATTCTTTTTTGCTTTAGAGAAGTTAGCACGGTGATAACCTAATTT